TCCCATTTTATCTGAGGATTGTGAGACAATTGGGAGAATCTAGAGTCTGGAATTTCTCTGGGTCTGATGTTTTCATATTATACTCAGTTTGCACTCACGTTCAGTACAAAACTGAAATATCGTTCTTCATTCAATATAAGATCCCTACATTTCTTTCTTTCTCAAGTACCAGTGTAACACTCACCCTCATCAGATTCCACATATACGTGATCAAATGAAAGGTTGATGCGTAAAATATATTCCAAGAGTTCTTTAGTTTGGTGACATGTTGTGTATGAGAGGTTAATTTTGGTATTTCCATTATTCACATTGTCAAAGGGAATTTATACATTCTTAGATCGCTTTATTTATTCAGTGATTCTTTCTCCTGTATGTCAATAATATTATGATAGGATACTATGTCTCTTGGTTGAAACATCATGTCTTCTAATCAGTGTATCATTTTTCAATATATGCTTGTGAGTTATTTCTTATGACCACACTCTTGTCCTAGTGAAAGCTGCAAGATTTAGGGTCCACATGACCAAAACAATAAGTGGAGTGAAGATGAGAATATTGAGGTGTGTGGATGAGAGGAAAAGTGAAGAATAAGATTAAGAATGGATGCATGACGTATCATACATTCAGGGGAAAGTTGGGATAGAATGTGTAGAAGATGACAGAAACTTTCCTAAGGTGTTTTGCTTTGGCTTTAGCAAAAAGAAAAGATGGAGAAACCTCGAATTGAAGATATTTAGATGAAAAGGGGTAGAGAAAGGCTGAAAAACATTTATGAAGTAATTGATTTCTAAGTCAGAGAGAGAGAGAGAGAGATTGTTGAAGAGTTGCAAACAAAGTAAAGTGGGGGAAACCAAGTTGCAGGGTAAAAAAAGATGAACTGATATGTGATTATGTGGAAGATGGTTAGTCTCTGTAATATAGTTAAAAGGTTGTCGATCCTCAGGGACTTGTGAAGTAGATTTTGATTTCTATTATGCTAATTGTTACTCGTAAATTCAAAGCTTGAATGATTACACATGTTAAATATTTGATGTGAGCGGTAAATTAAACTAAGTAACCAAAATTAAGTTAAATTTAAGAAAACATATATGAGAAATAGTTGGGATTAGATTTCATCAATCTCTCTCCTATGCATTCCTATTGATTCTTTCAAATGATTCTATTACTCATTATCATTGAGTTCTCTATATCCATTCAGACCCAATTCCTTGGCACAAGAAATTCCAAGATATTTAACTTAATGAATGATTCCTCACTTCATTCAGTTAAATATCCTACATTAAGAGTAAGAACTTATTACAACTATTAATTTCAAAATCATTTCAAAACTAATAGGTGATTTGTTCCAAGTCTAGATTTAGAAAACGTTTTCCAACCAAATTCTAAATCTGAAATCAAAGATAAATGATCAATTTATCAAAGCATTAAGAACAGAATACAAATCACTGATATTGAGTAATAGATGATATATATATATATATATATATATATATATATATATATCAAAGAGGATATATATATATATATATATATATATATAAATCAAAGAGGAATACAAAGGAGTTCAATGATTACATCAATCCCAACCCTAGAGCTTTAGCTCTCCATAGAAGAAGAAAGCACAAAGTAACAAGAGGAAAGGTAGAAGAAAGAGATCCTTTGACGAACCGTGTTCCCACGAGCTCCAAGGTGCTCTGTTTTGTTCCTTTGTCTTTGTTCTTCTCTCGTGCAACTTTTGATCCCTGTTTTCTCTCTCTTCTACCCTTTTATAGGTGTTGGAATTAAAACAGAGTAGGTAGGAAAAAGAAGGAACCGCTCAGCGCCTTGAAACGGTTGAGCGGTTTGGAGAATTCTTCAACATGAAGTAATATGAAGGGATGAGCCCCTCAAATCCGCTGAGCGCCTGAGATGATTCTTCACCATTAAACAAGCAAAAGGGGCTAGGCGCTTTAGATCTGCTGAGCGCCTAGGAGGCAGAGAGCACTCATTCTTCCAGGGCCAAAACCGCTCAGCGCTTGGGAGTGGCTGAACGCCTCTCCTTTGGTTCACTTGTTAAGCTCTCTGACTTGAAAGCGCTCAGCCCTTTTGATGGGTTGAGTGGTTTGCCTCCAGACTTCAAAACCTACAAAATAAGCACAAAATCTGATAAAAAAAATCATCACTCCTTGTAATAACATAAATTAAGAGTCCCTATTTAATTCTAAGTATATTGGCCAAAATTATATAAACATGTACAAAAATTATGCTGGATAAATGTGTCAAATTTATATTTCATCACACTAATTAGACACTTATCAATGGTTAAAGACTAGAATAACAAGACTTTCAACTCAAAGTAAAATGTAACGAGGGAGAAGCAAAGAGCACTTGTTATTACTGCCTTTTCGGTTACATCTCAAGAAAGAGAAAGCGTTGTTGCCTTGTTGAAATTATATATAGTGCCACCCATTAGGGGTGGACACATATTAAATTGAATTCTAAGAATATTTTGTTCAATTTCATTAACTTTAATTAAATTAGATTGATTCGACTTTTTAATTTTTTAATTTTAAATTTGAACCAATCCAATCATATTCGATTTGAATCTAATTGATTCATTAGATTTATTCATAAAATTAAAAGTTATAAAATAAAAGTAAAAGTCACATTAGACAATTTGTAAAATATATTTTTATGCTGTCAACTTATAAAACATTCAATATTATAAATTGGTATATCAACATTAATACTTAAACATTAAAAATTATAAATTTAAAAAATAATAAATGTTATTAAATTAAAACTTAAATTTGCATAACATCACAATCTACATATCTATTACATCATCCTTAACATTACATATTCAACAAAAATATCTCAAGTGTTACAATTAATACCACAAAAACTCTAATATGTAATTTATGTCAACTTTTATAAATGAGAGACACTCACAACGAGACAAACAAAAACTTGAATTTCATTTTGGTCATTTGATACTAAATAAATGTGCTAGTTAAAAAAAAAAGTTGAATAAGTCATTTATTTATTTTTATTATTGATAGTCTAAATTTGGTGAAAAAAAAATATATTAAATTAATTAAATGGATTGGTTTGATTTGATTATTGGATGTCAAAATCCGATATCCACACCAAAAATGATTGGATTTTCATTTTTCAAATTTGAATTGACATGATAATTTGAATCAATCCCATTTTTTGGGTTTGAATTAGATCGGATTCATCGGATTATTGGATTGGATACGATCTATGGCCACTTACTAGTCATGGAGGCTGTACTTGTGATATATTTTGAAAGTCAATCATTATTAGAAAAATGTCATTTTCTTGCAAATTTTCCTGCAAAATAATATTCGCAAATTTTTTTTATAAATTTTCTTGCAAAAAAATATTCGCAGAAATTTTTTGCGAATTTATTTGCAAAAAATAATTTACAGATATTTCTTACAAATTTTGCTACAATTTTAATAATCATAGAGATTTTTTTCTATGGTAAAAATTTGCAGAAAATATTGTAAGAATTTTATTATATTTTTTGCAGATTTTGTTGCAAAAATAAATTCACAAGTAATGTTTACTAAATGGTAGAAAAATTTTGCAGGTAACTCTTCCTGCGAATTTTCCTGTAAATTTTAATCCACAGGAAAAATAAAAAAAATATATTTAAATTTATAATTTTAATATTTTAAAAAAACTTCAAGTCCCACATCGGTTGAAAATAAAGCAATTAAAGAGTATATAAGTTGGGGGCAACACTTACCTTACAAGTTGATTTGTGTTTGAGTGTTAGACTTATAATCTACAATCTTAGAATTTAAAAGATTATGTATCACATGTTGGAGGCATGAAAACAAATGCTTTGGATTAATTACTTTATTTTTTTTCGTAAAAAAATATTTCTGCAAAATTTCTTGCGAAAAAATTCGCAGGAAACTTTCTTGCGAAATTTTTTTTGCCGGAAAATTTGCTGCAAATTTTTTTTGGAAGAAATTTCGCCGGAAAATTTCCTGCAAATTTTAAAATTTGCAAAAAAATATTATCTACAAAGGTATTACCTGCAGATAAAATTTCGCAGAAAAATTTGCAGGAACAACGTTTCCTGCGAATTTTTATGAAAAATTTGCAGGAAAAATCGCCATGTAATAAGAGAAATTCTAGTAGTGAATAGGAATCAAGAGAGTGAAGGAAAGTAGGGGGTAAAGTGGAGAATGAAGATATTTTTGGATAGCGTAACTGTAACCGTAAGCTTAACTAAACGAGACATGCTACAAAATTAAAATTGGTGATTTATGTTATATATTCATCTATCCTAATATCATGTATTAAGTTTGGATTATCATAGTCTGAACCAATATAAGACAACAATTAAATGTATAATATTTTCCGTCAATTTATAAACACAAAGAGGAACTAAATTAAAAATATATTGTAACTCGTCGAAGCCGGGCTAGATAAGGAGTGCAGAGAGAAAAACATGGTTTTGGCCTTTTGGGGTGACAGTCTGTGAACTAAAATATTGTGAGCTAAAGGAAAGCAAATGAGTAATAACCACGAAAATTCTATTTTTAATTTCAAAATCTCATAAAGCTATTCATAAAGTGAATATTAATAAATTTAATATTTTTTTCACAAATTTTAGGAACTTAAGTTCAAAAATAATATAATGATTGTATAGGAGTTAATTAAAATTCTTAGTAAATTATAAATTTATATATTAAAAGTCTAGCTTGTAGAGTTTTTCAGAAACTTGAGACTTGTTGATTTCCGACTGTAATATCCTAGTTAGACATTATTGTCGTATATACATACATTTGTGAAAATGTGTAAACTTAAAGCAAAACTTCGAATTAATTCTATTCAAGAGAAAATAGTAAAATAATTCAAGAAAGGTTTACAAATATCCTATGAAAGTATGAGGATTTATATCCCAAAAACAAAATAGACATCCTAAATTAATAAGCACAAAATAAAGTTCCTCTTCTAATGCCTCAATGTATACTATGTGACATTTAAAATAAATTTTAATAAGACTTTGTCCAAGTAATAACATAAGTACACATAACATGTAAAACACGTGTTGATATGTAGATAATGCAAATTCCAATTATGCAAATGAAATAATAGAAGTGGAGCCACTTGCATACTCCCATGAAACTTAGAACCAATAATCATTTTCCCATCAAGCCAAATTATTGATAGATTCTTGAAACATGGAAAGAGTCCAAAGAAGGCAACAAGACAAAAATAAAAAATTGGAGTTGCTAAACTTGAACGAGTCCACATTGGATTTTGAAGAATCTTCTAAGTAAAAACCGACTTGGAACTCGTGTCACCATACCTCTTGATTGATAGCTCTTTCGATCTGAACTCACAAAACCATACAGTCCAAGAATTAGATGAAAACAATGACTTGAGAAGATTTTAAGAATCTGACCATAAGAAAACATATGATAACGTGATGCTTCATTTACCTTTAAGAATATGAACAAAACTCTTATACCCGTGTCAAATCTGTCACGAACAATGTTTCGTGGACTATATCAGCTCAAAAGCTTTGTTTTATATAATCCACCTACAAGTGCAAAAGACAACTTGAAAATTCAATAGTTTAAAGTTGGCTATCACTTCCTTTATATGCATATCAATTAGATGAGCTGAACATGTTTACCAAAATAGAACTAATTAAAAAGTAGGAGCTAAGAGTCTTGATAGTAAAGTATGACAGTCTCGCATTTTGTATATCAATACATGAAATCCATAACATGCAAACCAGAAACATTGCAGTCATTCACAGAGAACAAGAGAGTTTTGTTTGAGTTTGCTCTTGAATTTCCTTAAGAAAATAGTGTTTTGCAATTCAGGAAACATTTGAAAACAGAAAGGTACACAATATTTTTTTTGGTAATCATGTTATTGGTACAAAGTGTCTACCAGTCTTGTTGGTGACTAATCTCTATAGGAGAACTTGGTTAGCCACCTTTAGTGGGGTTCGCCTCTTCTAATCACATTTTTTCTATACTCAAGACTCGAATTTGAAACCTTACTTAACAAGACTGAATCCAATATCACTCAGACCAATAACTTGTTATTGAAAGGTACACAATATGTTATTAACACTAAGGCAACTTTGAGGAATTAAAATAAGAAAACCAATAGAAAAGATGCTTTGCTAGAAAACTAAAAGAAGAAAGGTATTATGGGAAGAAAAAAATCTTAAAAACGTGAGAAGTATGAACTAGGGCTGGCCCAACATATTTTGAGGCCTAAAGTGAGTTTTGAAGTTGAGTTTTTTTAAAGATGAGAGAGTGGTAAAAAAATCAATAGACACCTATAAGAAAAAGGAACTTTTAGCAAAAATTATAATACTAAGATCAGACCTAGTCCTTACAATGCTAGACTTAGACAATGACCAGCAAACCAAAATTAGTATTGATACAACAAATTCATTAAGTTTTGTAAGTAAAAAATATATTTTGGGGGCCTAAAGTTAGGGCTTGTACAGCCTTATGCTTGAGCCGACCCTAGTATGAACTAAAAAAAAAAGAAGAATGAGTATACAAATTTACGTACCTATCAAGATCAAGGAAGATGAAACCATCATATATAACTTTGGCACTTTATTGCCTTCACCATTTTTCTAGTGTCCTGAATATAAGCAACAAATTTGATTGGATTTCAAGTTTGTTAGAATAGCTTACTAGAGAAGCCTTTGTATTTATTAATATTTCTTTTGTATGTCTGATGTGATGTCTTAGACTCCTAGGCCTTTCCAATCTATGTACCCAATCTGCTATATTGATATATAATGAAAAGGAGAGAAAAGTGTGCAACACACACTATTTTTCTCAGATCCTAACATTCAAGTTGGTATAAGAGCGGGTCCGATCATGCTCTATCATTCGCCACTGTCCGCCGCACATTCGCAGCCGTCTGCCGCCGTCCTTCGTCACCGGTCACCGGCTGCCGGTGACTAAATTTTCCAGTAACCTTAGGGTTTGGTGCGCCTCGTTGAGCGCGAACCAACCCTGTCCACGCGCCCTCACACACCACCCAATTCATGTCCTTCACCATCAGGCCCCCCTACTACGGATCCTAGTGATGGTGGTTTAGGATGGCCAATTGCCCTTCGCAAAGGTATTCGATCTACTCGGAACCCTCATCCTATTTATAATTTTTTGAGTTATTATTGGTTATCTCCCTCATATTGTTCTTTTGTCTCTTCTATATCTCCTTTAACTATTCCTAAAAATGTCCATGAGGCACTTGATCATCCTGGATGGCGACAAGCTATGATTGTTGCAATGCAGGCTCTTGAACATAGTGGTACGTGGGAGTTAGTTCCACTCCCTCCTGGTAAACAACCAGTTGGTTGTAGATGGGTCTACGCCATTAAAGTTGGGCCTGATAGTACTGTTGATCAACTCAAAGCTAGATTGGTGGCCAAGGGATATACTCAAATTTATGGCTTAGATTATGGTGATACCTTTTCTCCTATAGCCAAAATCCCTATAGTTTGTCTCTTCCTTACTATGGCAACCATTCGACATTGGCCTCTCCACCAATTAGATATTAAAAATGCGTTTCTTCGTGGGGAGTTGGACGAGGAGATTTACATGGAGCAACCTCTTGGGTTTGTAGCTCAGGGGGAGTCTAGTTTAGTTTGCAAATTGCAAAGATCCCTTTATGGTCTCAAACAATCTCCTCGGGCTTGGTTTGGAAAATTTAGACATGTGGTGCAGAACTTGGGTTGAAAAGAAGTGAAGTAGACCACTCAGTATTCTATTGTCACACTTCGCCTGGGAGTTGTGTTTATTTGATTGTTTATGTTGATGACATAGTGATTACAAGAAATGATGCAACTACAATCTCTTAATTGAAGAAACACTTGTTTAGTCATTTTCAAACTAAAGACCTTGGGCATTTGAAATACTTTCTGGGTATTGAGGTTGCTTAATCAAAGGAAGGCATTGTGATTTCACAAAGGAAATATGCTGTTGATATCTTGAAGGAAATTGGCATGTTGGATTGCAAGCCCATTGATAGTCCTATGGATCCTAACCAAAAGTTGATGGCTGATCAAGGTGAATTATTTACAGACCTAGAGAGGTATAAAAGATTGGTTGGGAAGCTTATTTATCTTATAATTACAAGACCTGATCTTTCTTTTACAGTAGGGATTGTTAGCCAATTCATGCAGGCCCCTCATATTGATCATTGGAATGTTGTTTTACGTATCCTTAGATATATCAAAAAGGCTCCAGGACAAGGATTATTGTATGAGGACAAAGGAGACAACCACATTTCTGGCTATTGTGATGCTGATTGGGCTAGTTGTCCTATAGACCGACATTCCACTACTGGCTACTGTGTATTCCTAGGTGGAAATCTCATATCTTGGAAGAGTAAGAAGAAAAATGTTGTTGCCCAATCTAGTACTGAGGCTGAATATCGTGCTATGGCCTTAATTACCTGTGAACTTACGTGGATTAATTAAGCAACTTCTTCGAGAGTTAAAATTTTGTGAAGGTCATCCAATGAAATTGTATTGTGATAATTAGGTTGTGCTACACATTGCTTCCAATCCAGTATTTCATGAGAGAACTAAACATATAGAAGTTGACTATCATTTTGTTAGAGAGAAGCTGCTGTCTAAGGAAATTGTCACTGAATTTGTCACATCCATTGAACAACTTGCAGATGTTATGACTAAGTCTTTGAAGGGGCCTCGCATTTAGTTTTTATGTTCCAAGCTTGGTGCATACAATCTATATGCTCCAGCTTGAGAGGGAGTGTTAGAATAGCTTATTAGAGAAGCCTTTGTATTTATTAATATTTCTTTTGTATGTCTGATGTGATGTCTTAGACTCCTAGGCCTTTCCAATCTATGTACTCAATCTGCTATATTGATATATAATGAAAAGGAAAGCAAAGTGTGCAACACACACTATTTTTCTCAAATCCTAACATTCAAGTAAGTTCAATAGTGGATATTTATAACAAAAATTCTAGCTTGTGAAATAGAATATTGAAATAAAATATGATGAGTGAAGAGATAAATCTGTTAATATAAATGTAACTTGTGTTGCTATTATTGTTTGGTAAATGTTAACCATAGAGAAATATTTCCAATAAACAAGATTGTATATCAAAAGCTTCAAAGATATTGTGAAGAATTTGCACTTGATGAAAAGGTAGACATCTGAGAAACTGTGCATGTGTAATTCCTACCTTCTTGTTCATCTTATTGGTTTATGATCAATCCATACATTTCTAATATGAGCAATCTTTCTCCAGTCTTGGCCTTCTATTTTTTGGCAACACTTTTTGAGAAATGGACAATTGCCAGAAATACTAAGATATGAAATGGATTTGGGCAAACCCTCTTCTGGTAAGCATTGGAGGCTAGAGCAGTCATCAAGAACCAATTCCATGAGAGAAGAGAGGCGACAAAGACCCTTGTAGTCCAGGTTTTTAAGATCTGGACAATCATAGATCGATAGAGAAGTAAGAGAGAGTGGCAACAAACTATCGTCAGGAAAAGACTCTGCATCCACTTTTCCAATACACAAGGTTTCTAGAGAGGGATTGGATCCCAAAACTCCTTTTAAAGAAGTGATAAGCTTGGAGCAATTATAGAGATGGACCTTTTTTAGATTTGATGGCAAACCTCCGTCAGGGAAGGACTCAACTCTTGGACAATCTTCTATTCGAAGGTTATCAAGAGATGGAAGGAGGAAATGCATGCCTTCAGGCAATGACTTCAAATTTTGCAATCCTTTAATATGAAAGCTCTCTAGCCAGGGTGCAAATAATCCTTCACTAGGAAATGATTCAAACCAAGGGCACTCATCTATCTTCAGATCCTTGAGATGATTATGAACACGCCCCTGTGAAATTGTTTGTAGATGACAACACATGAGATCAAGCGAACAAAGTTTTGGGAACAAATCTAGAGGAAAGTTTGTTAGAGAATCACAACCATCACTGATTTCCAAATTTATGAGGAAATCGTAGCAACGATTGATGGGAATATTCATATTAGGGCAAGAATCAATTGACAAGAATTCAAGAGAAGTATCAGATAAGATGTTCCCAATCCTTTCAATTGTTGTTGCTTCTGTGTTGTGTCCGCTAATGGTTAGCATTTTCAAAGTTGTTGGATGATAATCAAATTGCAGTTTTCCACAGTAACGAATATCTAATTCACAAAATGCTAGAGCCTTAGGAACATAAGCCACAAGTTGTTTGCAGTGGCGAATAACCAGTTTCTTTAAATGAAGAAGTTGCTTTGGCAAGTGACCTTTCAACTTGGGACATTTCACTATAAAAAGTTGTTGAAGACGCGGAAAAGCACCTGTTACAACTTTACAGTCCCATTTTTCCCATTCCTTCATATCAGAGAAGTACAATGTTTCCAAGGATGTAAATGAAGAAGTGTTGTTCCCATAAAAATCAGCATCAATACTTGCTATCCCATCAAGCCCTGTAATTGTCAAGTTCTTGAGCAATGATAAAAGTCCAAGAGGAGGCAAACATGGACAATGTATACAATAGTCCAACTTCAAGGACACCACATTAGATAATGAATTATCAAATAACCAACTTGGAAATTGTTTGTCACCATAGTTCTTGATTGACAACTTCTTTAAGTGTTTGGAAGGTTGTAGATTCTCAAGTATATCCCTTTCTTTTGTTAAATCGTCATGATTTCGATTCCATTCTAACTCTAGATCCACAAGGTGTATTTTATTTTTTAAATCTGCTATTAATGCATCCCAGGGATTGTCAATATTCTGCAACTCCCCAATTAACAACCTTCCATGAAGTTTGAGTTCACTTAGTTGTTGAATACTAAACTCACTACTTGGGCCAACATAAAATGAAGTTAATACTTGAAGATTCTTCAACTTCCCCAAATGCATTGGCATCGTTTTCACATTAGTGTCTCTAAATTCAAGGCGACGCAAATTCGTGAGTTTGTGTAAATTAAAGGGCAAATCCTCCAAATTTTTACAAAAGCTCAGCTTTAGTATTTGCAAATTATAAAGTGAACATGTTGAATCAGGTAGTCTTTTTATTCCAGTACCAGAGAGGTCTAATGAGCAGAGATGTTTAAGATCGCCTATAGAGTCAGGAACCTCTGCAAGGTCAGAACAAGACAAGGAGAAGACGCGCAAGAACTTAAACTTGGAGAATAACTCATGTATTGACACCTTGCAATACCAATGATCATAAAGGTAATTCATTCTCCAACTTGTTGGCATAAATGTACGTAATCTTTTAGAATCATATAAACTCCCAAACCCATCAATATATTGAACATGATTGATTGCGAAAGAAAAATAACGAGTCATTTTTGGTATAACATTTACTTTATCAACTCCCAACCTGAAACAGGTGTCTCCACAAACATATTTTGCCAAGTCATTAAGAAGGTCATGCATGACAAACCATGTTTCATATGTGCTTGATTTTTGAAAGAAGGATCTTGATAATAGATCATTAAAGTATTGTTCACCAATTTCTTCTGGACTCTTCCTTTGTTGGGGGCATTGTAGAAAATTTTCAACCATCCACAACAAAATTAAACACTCCTTGTCAAACTCATAATCCTTGGGGAATAAGGCACAATACGCAAAGCATCTCTTGAGATGAGAAGGAAGATGATGATAACTCAATAATAAAGAAGGGATAATTTCACTATCTTCTTTTGGTAAGTCCCATATCTCACTTGTTAGCACATTTTTCCATTCCAAAATAGATGATTTTGTGTATAAGAGACTTCCAATTGTTTTCAAAGCTAGTGGCAAACCTTTGCACTTTTCAACTATCTTTGTACTAATCTCTTTCATCTCATCATTTAATAAGGGAGGATTATCATCATGGAATGCATATTTAGCAAGAACTTTCCAACAATGATCACCTTTTAACTGAGTTAGGAGATGTATTTTATTTGACCGCATGGTAGTAGCAACTTTCTTACTACGAGTTGTAACAAGAATCCTACTTCCGTGGGCCCCATAATTAAGAGGAGTTTGCACTACTTCCCATTTCTTTCGATCTTCATTCCAAACGTCATCCAAGACAAGAAGAAATCTCTTCCTTGTCAGTATTTCCATCAATCTTCTTTGAAGCATTTCTAGGTTTCTACTCTTATCTTTTGATTTAGTGATTGTCTCAACAATTGTTCTTGTTACCTTGAAAACATCAAAATCATCCGAAACACAAACCCAAATTTTGATATCAAATTTATTCTCTATCCTTGGGTCATTGTATGCATGTTGGGCAAGCGTGGTCTTACCCTCCCCACCCATTCCCACAATAGAAAGTATTGGTAGTTGTTTACAATTATCAGGGTCAGATGTCAACCAATTAATGATTATTTCTTTGTCATCATCTCTGCCATAAATAAAACTTTCAACCATTAAAGATGTTGATGGTAATTTCAGTGACACATTACTACATGATCCTGATCCAACACCAACACCACTAGCCTCTTTTAAACCTAGATAACCCTTTTGGTTTGCAAGAAATTCTAGGTCTTGAAGGACTTGCTTCATCTTTGCTTCAATTTCCATGTTAAAGTTGCGTACCTGGTTAGCATCAGTCTGAGATTCAGCTTCCACTTGGCATTTGGAGAGTTCATAGTCTATTTCATCCAAGAGATCCTCTGCTTGAAACACGATATCTTTGACAGCAGCAAGCCATGCTTTCACGCGTGGATTATCAATCTGCTTTCGTTCTGCGTCATCAACCACAGCATCTATGGACAGCAAATTCATGTTCAACTGGCTCAGTAGTGTCTTGTCAAGTTCTCTTCCGCGAAAGAAGTCCAGAATTTGATGAGAAGCTAGCCTGTCAAACGCAACCTGAAGGAATGCACCGAAAAGAGCACCACCAAGCGTTTCTACCACCGGCATGGCTGAATCAAATAGAAGAAAGGATTGTGAAACTTACTAGTGCAGCTTAAGGAGGTGGATGAGATGATTAAGCTTATACAAATGAGTAATGGCTAATGTCTAATGCAGTGCAGAACTTTGATTTCTTTGATGGCTCAGTCAACCCATAACTTTTTTAAGTCTTCCCAGCTGTACACCATCGTGAATGAGTGGCAATATTAATTGAATGCATCACCCACTGTCACTGTCAAATTTAACAAATTTGACATTGCTTCTTTCATTCGTTATAATATTTATCCACTTGGTGACGGCCAAGCATATGTGGTTACTTATAGTATTTAATATTATGATTAATTTTTTTATTCGTCAAAATTATAATGATGATAAAATTTAAAAATTTGTGTAACCTCTACAACTAGATTAATTTTTTTTTTCTAAGTGATCAAGAGTAAATAAATATAATTGTAATTGTGACACTTTTACTATCTAAACACATATATTGTTATAATGTAAATAAATTAAGGAAATAATTTTTTCAACATCAATAAAAGGGTTCATATAAAATTTTTTAGAAACATTCTTCAATATCCAAAATACATATATTAATAATGAAACTTGGAAAATAAAACTTAAGAGGTTACAAAATATTTTCAAAATAATAAGTACAACTCCATATACAAATAAAATTCATGTCCTAGAAATCTTCTGTCCTGATGTCACAATATCAGAACATACCCATAATTTAATTGTTGGCATTCTAGATGCTACTCATAGCCGGATCTTCCTCACCTAAAACATCTACAAATTGTACGGTGAGAAAATAAAACATCTATATATAAAGAACACAAGGAAAAATACAACATAATCTTATCATAACTCATCAATTAATGAAGTCTTTACAAGCATATCCATACATTCTAATTCTATCAATCATGCATCATATTCACATCACAATTTCACAATCACACCAATCTATCACAAATTTTACAATTAACACTATGCCAATGGTAATGCCACCTCAAGGTCGTGCCACTCTAGACATAAGTGATACGTATTAATTGCCTCACTCATCCCACATTATGTCAGGGGCACGTCATCCTTGTAGCATCACTTACCCAGGGTTGTCTCATCCCTGGTCATATGTGCGAGGAACCACAATCACATCACATCAACAATCATCACAAATCTTACAATTAACACTATGTCAAGGTCACGCTACCCTTGTAGTAGCCTAGGGTTGTGCTCACCCCTGACATACAACTGTGCCAAGGTCACACTACCCTTTTAGCAGCCTAGGGTCGTGCTCATCCCTGACATAACACTATGCCAAGGTCACGCTACCCTTTTAGCAGCCTAGGGTCGTGGTCACCCCTGGTCATTAGTATAAGGATCCACAATCACATCTCATTCACATTCCACACATCTCATTTCATGTCAACATACTCACATCATGTTATCAATTCAATAATAATACAGTAGATATAATGTATATACGAAGGCATCACACCACATTCCATATCTAGGTCATCAATTTTACCAAATAATATAACCATCACATTTATAAATTAATATAAAACTCGATGAAATCATCAAATCAGTAGAATTTTAACCCAAATAGTAAAACCCCTAGTTTTTCCAAAACCTAACTCACAGACACTTTTTTATAATTTCGTTTTCTCTCCCAGATCATCATTTTTTGTAAATTAAATATATATTTCTAATCCTCAACACATACATAATCTAATGGGATAATCAATTTCTCAAACAGAAACAATTATAAAAATTACCCATAATTCTAAGGGACTCTTTCTCTACCCAATTCCCTCATGTAACTCTATATACAAATAATCCCCTTTTTCCCCGTACCTCGATAAGTAGAACTAGAGCAGGATCTGGTTAGTCTCCTCCTCTGGGCTCCTCTCGATTTTTAGAGAATGTAGAAGGAAAAGAATTCAAAATTGAAAGAAGTCAAAACTGAAAGGTGTACTTTTTGGGAGTTCCAGAGCTCTCTATTTATAGGCATCAAGTGTCGCCAGAACAACCCGTTTCAAATCCAGAACGGCCCGTTCTGGACTCTAATGGCATGTGTAAAATTCACATCCATAATGACCTGTTCTCAAACCAGAACGACCCGTTCTGGGGTTGCATTTAACCCATAACGTCCATATTTGGAACGACCTGTTCTTAAACCAGAATGACTTGTTCCCAACTAGGGTTACAAGCCTTTTTCGTAGTTTGGAACGCCCCGTTCCCAACTAAGATTTGTAGGAAATTTAGTATTTTGGAATGGCCCGTTCTGAGATACTAAATCACCCTCATTTTAGTAGTTTGCAACGGCCCATTCCAATTTGGGAACGACTTGTTCTGGGCTACTAAATAACCCCTATTGGGCTTTGGGCCCTCGTACAATCTGTGAAAATCAGGCTGTTACAATTAGCATCAGTAGCACATTTATCATGAAAGTAATTCAACATACTTCAACATTAAGACAACTTAAAACAAGTTTCTTCAACGTAGCCACCCCCAATGACATTTGCCATGCATCTGACATCATTGAGGCAAATAACCTCTAGCTTGAAGTTAGCGGAAAAACACATAGAAGAGGGGGGGTTGAATATGTGTGTGTGTGTGAAGGAATTTTAAAGACATTTTCGCAAGAGTAATATACTTCATCCAATGCCCTGTCGAATATCAGACGGTTAGGCAGAATTTGGTTAACATAAGGTCATTGCGTCTGAAGGGTTTATAGTTTCGTTTAAAGACAAGAAGTAGATAAAGATTTTCATTGTAATATATTTGTTAAATGAAATTGTGTCTTCGTTTGAAAAATGATTTTAACGATATGTAAATATTGGACAAAGTCTTTCACAAAGATTTAATCAGTAAAGAAGATTTGTTCCTAGTTAAGCAAGAAAAACAATGCAGTCATTTTATACTATTTCACTCAACTGAGCTACGTCTAGTCTCCTTCAAATGAAGGGTTCCACTAGATATCAAAATGAAGAACATTGGGTATTGTCATCTACTCCTGGACCTAAGTATTCTTGACCACTTCTGGCCCATTGGCTTCACTCACTAATGCTAGTATTCTTAAACCACTTCTGGTTCTCCAAGTATTCTTGACCACTCCTGGCCCGTTGGCTTCACTCACCAATGCTAGTATTCTTAAACCACTTCGGTTTCCCAAGTATTCTCGAACACTCCTGGCCCTGTAGACACCCAATTTCATCCAGGAGGCATACAAACAAAGAAATGAACGTCTATTATCAAGGAAAGGAGCTCCCGAAGCATGGAAATAATAGGACATGACATCAAAAGACCTAAAGCCTAAATAAGTTAGTTTTAGTAGCTTAGAACGGGTGTTCCAAGACCGGAATGGGCCATTCCCAAGACAGAACAACCCGTTCTAGAACAGGTTGTTATAAGCAAGATTTAAATCCAGAACGGGCCCTTTTGCTTTAAGAACAAGCCGTTCCAGATTCTTATTTTACCCATAACAGACTTGCCCCGAACGGGCAGTCCTAAACTGGGAGCGGGCTGTTCCAAATCATCAAATGGGCCTAAAACCCTAGTCTGGAACGGGCCATTCTGGAATAACTTATTGTAAGTCAAATTCGAACCCAGAACGGGTCGTTCCACTTTTGGAACGGGCCATTCCAGATTCTTATTTTACCTATAACAGACTAGCCCCGAACGGGCCATTTTCAATCCAGAACGGGCCATTTTGGCCCCCTTCTGATACCTATAAATAGGCAGCTCGGGCACAGTTCTCAGGGCAATAAAATTTCTTCCAGAACTCCTTAGAGCTTGAAATTTCTCTCTCTCTCTCTCTCCCTCTTATTGTATTTCTTGAGGTTTGTGAGGCATTTGTGTAGTGTGAACGGTTGCCACAAAGCACCTAAAATTTCTATATCAGAAGATTTAACAAAGCTTGCTACGAGGTATTTCAATTTATCTTTTTGGCTCTCTTTTATTTCTTATTTTCGATAAGTATTGTTATAATAAAAACAATCATGTAGATATTTTAGAGTCAATTGTTTAGTTTAAATTTCAAGCATGTATAATCATTAATTAATAAAAGGCGATTTAATATTTATATTATTATTGTTTATAATGGTAACTTCGTTTAGGGGTGCTTAATACCTTTCCTACACGTAATCGACCCTTGAACCCAATTCTGGTTATCAAGGCCATTTATTAGACTTTTAAAAACCTTTTCTTTTTCCAATGTTTTGAGTAAAACATTGGTGACAACTCCATGAACCTATTTTCAAAATCATTAATTAAGGATTAGCTTGGTGTCCGAGCATTCCTTAATTGATGAGATTTTCAAAAGGATGTTTAAATCATTTGTCACGAGATCAGAAATTTTCGGGTTGCGACAAATGGCGACTCCATTGGGGACGTTTTATGAGGGTCAGACCCAATAAATGATGAAGTTAATAAAATTATAATAATTTAAATATTTTTCCCCTTTACTTTATTTGTTTTGTTTGGCTTTAATATTTGTTTGTTTGTTTAAATTCTACACCTGTTTGAATAAAATTATACACAGTCCTTTGCACACAACAGTTCTCCCTACACCCGGGGGGGGCATGAGGGTAATAAACATAGGGAGTGGTTGACGTACGACCGGCCCAAGTTTGGGCTTGGAGCCTGCGAGCCTTGTCGGAAATCACACTCAAGGTGATAACTGGTTACTCTAGCCCAAAATACTGCGATAGACCTTAGAGTTTGCCAGGTGACAGCGACAAAGATACTGGGTCCCTATAATGGGGGCACCTTGGGGGCCTTAAGACCAGTGAGATTAGAACTGTCCTATACAATGCACTTTTCTTGCAGGGACCATAGACCAAGCATTTAAATGTGACTGTTCGCGGGTGTACATTTGTTTGAGCATATGTGTGTTGCATTTGTTTGTGTTTATTTATTTCAAATGGATAAGAATTACAAACAAATAGATATTAATAAAAAATATATGATAAAAAATTTAACTCCTTTCTATATACCCAAACCTCAAAGCATCATATAGGATAGTTTATTTCAAAAAAAAAAAACAAAAACAAATAATTATATAGCAAAAATCATGCATCATAACCTTAGTTAAAAAAAATGATAAAATTTAGGCAGAAAACAAATATCATGCATCTTTTAGTTTAGCATATACATTCATTAGAAATGGAAAGCACATAGTATGCAAAGATTTTTGA